GAGACTGTTTTCCTACAGATGGTGGGAGAAGGAGAGTGGCCCTCAGCGCTACTCCCCTGCCTGGGCCAGTTTTCCTCCCTTTAGTCTCTTGAAAACAATTTTCTTTGGCTTCGTTTTGTTTCCTTCTCCATCCCTATTCTCTGCCCACTCCTCTTCTTTTGAACAGCTGCTCTCCGTAGCTAACTTCCTCGACCCACCGTTAGCCAAAAATGGAGCATCTGTTGGGTGTCAGGTCCCCCAGAGCATGGGTGGAGGATGAAGGACACTGAGCCTAGGCCCTGCCCTCTCGGCCTCACACACATAGATCTCCTCTGAGACCTGTTCAAATCTCGCTCCTCACTCCTGCCCTGCTTCTCTCCCCCTTGCACTGTCTCCGTCTCCATGTCTCTTCCCTGGGGCACTGAGATCAGAACTCCAGTTCCAGGCCTGCCACTTACAGGGTGATACAGAACAAGCCATTTCTACTTTCTGGGCCATTCCCTCATCTGTAAAAATGGAGACAATATATCCACCTCTTATGGAGTGTTGTGAGGATGCAGTAAGAACTTGTATATAAAAGCCCTCAAATACAGCAAATACTCAGTTATATAATTTCCATTTCCATGTTATCCCCTGTCCTCTCAGGCAGGCAAAGTTCCTTCCTCGTCATACCAGGGGCTTGGTACGAGGCAACCCAGGCTGTTTCCAGTTCTGTGTCCTCTTACATGTGGGAGCTGGAAGCCAGCATGTGTGTGAGGGGTTGGGGACCATACTATGAATTACCCCAAAAAGTGAGGAAAGAGAGAGTGCAAGCAAACAAAAGTGCTTTCTTAGATCTTAATGTGACACCAGCCCACTGGTTTCTCTCCTCTTACAAATGAGGAAACTGAGGCTTATGGAGGTTCCCCAGCTAGTGATAGGGACAGGCCATAGTGCTAGCATCTTTCCTCCCATCAGCCCTCTATTGTTCATCTCCTCACTCCTCTTCTTCCCTTGAGGGGGTCTGGGTCAGTAGCAAGGAGTGTGGGAGAAGGAACAAAAAGAGAGGACCTTCAAGGAGCCAGGACCTTTCCACTAGACTTCATAAAATTTTAACACAAAAACTTCCTCAGAGTAGAAAGCCTATATCCCATGCAAATCATATGCTAATCACATGCTAATCCAAAGTCTGGTCCTCAGAACTCTGATGCACACCTGGCTGTACACTCTGGAGGAAATTCTTGGGATACCCCTGGGTTCCAGGACAAGACAGACGAGAGATGTGCTCCATTTAGGCTCAGGTTGTAGAGTCAGAATTCATTTCAGGACTGGAGAGGAGTCAAGTGCATAATTTGGGATTAGGGTCAGGGTTAGTGCAGAGTCAAGGATGGAGGTTAAGGTAGGATTCAGCATGGGCTGTGCTTTTATTTCACTTATTTATTTTTAGGTAAGCTCCACACCCAAAGTGGGGCGGGAGCTTGAACTCACAACCCCAAGATCAAGAGTCACATGCTTCTCCAACAGAGCCAGCAGAGCACCCCTGGGCTGTGCTTGTAAAGAGGGGAGGATAGGGAACTCTTTAAAGGCCTCCTTTCCATTCCCTTTCCCCCATCAGACTCGTCCCCACCTTTACCACTCTTGGCCACATTCTGTAGCACACCCTTCTCTGCCTACTTCCCATTCCCATCCACACCACCTCCCTGGGGCCTCCCAGTTTGGCTGCCTGGGGAGCTCTGGATAAATCGTCCCAGACCCCAGCCTGGGCCTCAGCATTTCCTCTTGAGCCCAGACACTTGGCTTCTGGCCCCAGGAGCACTGGCTGGCCTTGACCCTACCCAGGTCCCTCATCGGCCGAATGTGACAGCTGCAGGGGAAGCAATAAGGACCTGGTGAGCTGGCAGCTTCATTCCAGAGCGTGGGGAAAGAGCAACAGAACATGAATAAATTCATGGAGCTGGCCCCTCAGCTCCCTGTGAGCCAAGCCTGCTCCCCCCACCACACAGACCCGCTGCCGCCTGCAGCCCTGCTGGTCACCGCAGCTCACAGCCTGGGCTGGGGATGGGAGAAGGGACGCTCCAGAGAGAAGAGGGCTGGGACCTGAAAGGGGCTGAGGTGAGGGGCTCAAAAAGAGGGTCTCGGTGAGTAGGAGAGTGGGGTGGGGAATGGGGCTGAGCAGTGAAGGCCTCTGGTCAGCGGAGGGAGGGCAGGGGAGGGGTGTGGAGGAAAGAGAAGGATGGCAGGACCTGAGGACGATGGGGCATGAGGACCGGGCAGGGTAGGCCAGCGTTAGCACCGGCCTGCTCTCTCCTCTCTGATCCATCCATCATCCAGCCTGGGGGAGCAGTTCCGGAATTAGACATGCACGGGGCCGACATGGCCCTCAGCCCCCCGAGGAAGACAAATGGCGACAAAGACCTTGAATAAAATTTGTATTTATGGTTGGAGGAGAAGGCCCCTCCCCCACTGACTGCCAATCCTTTCTCTCACAACCCTTTCAAGCATGAGGGGCCTCCCTCCACACGGGCCGGAGCCTCAGCAACCTCTTTCTTCCTGCACTGTTATGGGCTGGGAGGTTCAGGAAAGGGGTACAGAAAACAAGATGAGGTGAATCACTTTCTACCCAATAACCATGCCTTGGTATGCCCTGTGCCCTCCATTTTGCACAACTTATTCCTGTATATTATAGCCCTGGCTTATCCTGGTCAATAAGACGTCCTTTGCAGCTGTCCACCTCCACGGTCTCCAAACATCGCCACCTTTGCCGGTCCCGGAGCTCCTTTCCCAAACCTTTGGCCCTGGGGTCCCTTGTAGGCAAGAAATTTCCTCCGGAGGTGCCAGACCCTAAGGAAAGATGGAGCCACAAGCTTTTTTCCCTGGACCATGACCCCACACAGAGAGGGATCTGTCAAAGCTTGTGTCCCCTCTTGGTCTCTCCGAATGACAGAAACAGTCACCTCTCACAGGAGGGTGCCCAGCATTTAATCTGCATTTTAGTTGTGTTAATTTGCATAACCAACTTCAAATCCCTCCCTCCAACATTTACTATGTGGGATCCAACTTCTTTGGGTTTCCATCTAACCACAGATTTTTGGGAAGGAGAAGGAGGCTGAGATGCTGCAGCTGGACAAGGTCTGAGACTGGGGCAGGGGTGGTCCGGGGCTGGGCAGGGGAGGGCCAGTGAGAGACTACAGCTGCTTTATGACTCCTTCTCCCCAGTAGATTCTCTACTCTTCAGTCCTAAGATAGGAAACATGGCATTCATGGGGCCCCACATTTAGGGACTAAGAGGAAACCAAGTAAAAAAGCCTCTCTTCAAACAGTGCCTCCCACTGCCCCTGCCACACACACACAAAGACAACACACAATCCACAATCCCACTCACCCAGAAACACACAAGGCCAGGGTACCATGGCCTGGTTCACACTTGCCAGCACACTGTCACATCGCACAGACCCGGAGCCTACCACTCTGTTGGAAGAACCGCCCCGCCCCCGCATCTTCCCCACAGTTGATATGTCACATTGGAGTCCAAACACGGACCTGGGTGTCTCTCTGCAGCGCGCCATTTACATTTCTCTCTTGATCTGTCAACCTGTCTCCGCTCTTGTCTCTCTCTCTCTCTCTCTCTCTCTCTCTCTGTCTCTGTCTCTCCCTCACCCCCTTTGGGCCTGTCACTTAGTCTCTTTTCGAAGCTTTGTCTCTGTCTCTGCGTCTCTATCTGGCTTTCTGTCTCTTTGATTTCTCTGTCGCTTCTTCTCTGCTTTCCTGTCGGTTTCCTGCTCACTCAAGCCTGATCTGTTTTTCCCTCTCGTTCCTTCACCCTCTTCGCTGCTCTGTGTCCCCCAACATTGGGGGTCGAGGGTAGGGGTGGCTGGAAATTTGCCTTTTCCAGGTCAGGCCAACATGTACTTGTTGAAGCCTTTACCATGTGTTATTGGGTCACGGCACTGAGGGTCGTGGGGTGGTGTATTTCAATCTCTTATCACCCTTCCTGTTTGTGGGCCTTTCTTTGGAGGGGGTGCTTTTTTAGCTCTGGAATCCACCTCTGTCTGTCTTCTTTATGTGTGTGTATGTCGACCCCTTTTTATCCCATATCTATTTCTGGCTTCCTCCGGGCTCTGGGAATACCAAACTCAGGGTGGGGTGAAAGTAAGGATAGGGTGGGGGCAGTGAATTCCTGCAGAATCGGCTCAGAACAGGCAGGAACCGAGAAGCTGGGGGAACGCGGGTGGGGGCCTCTGCCTGCCCCGCCCCCGCGCTTCCCACTCTGGGCGCCAGGGGTCGCTCCGCCCCGGGCCGCTTATAGAGGCTCCCGCCGCGCAGCGGCTCACACCACCCGCACTGCCGCCCCGGGAGGGAGGGGAGGAAGGTTAGGGACGCAGAGAGGGAGAGCTCCAGCTGGAGAGAAACGCGGGTCCAGGGCTCTAGCAGGGGCTGGGGCCGCGGCTGGGGTAGAAAGGTGCGTCAGTGCTCGCCAAGAGCCAGAGCGCAAACCTACGAGGAGGTCGAGTCCGGAGGGCGCCACCCGCAGCGCGGAGCCCGGGACGTCCAGAGCTCGGAGAGTAGTCCCTGGCTCCGGCCAGGAGCGATCCGTCTGGGTAGCCGGGGACCTAGGCGCCGCCATCCTTGAGAAAACAGCTGTCCGGAGAGCAGGCATCCTAGATCTGTAAGAAACCGGCCGTCCGAGAAGCCGCTGATTTCAGGCGCCCGGGAACGTTAGGCTGAACGGGAGGGTAATAGAGGACCACGGGTTTTGAACCGTCGGGAGCCCCCTGGCCCAACCCACGGGGAGGACCTCCGCCTTGACGGAAGGTTTGGGGAACGGCACCGCTGAGGCGGGAGCCCGCAGGGGCGGGGAGGCCGGGCGCAGCCGTCGGGGGGATCCCGACCCAGGCCCGAGCCCGGCCACCGCCTCCGGGGCCCGCGGAGAGCCCCGGGCCTCCGCCGCCATTGCGCCCAAGAGTGAGGAGGATCTGCTGGCCCTGGCCGCGTCGCGGCTGAGCCGCCGCAAGCGGGTGGCAGGCGCGGCCGTCGGGGTGGCCATGGTGCTGCTGCTGCTGGTGGCCATTCCGCTGCTGGTGCACAGCTCCCGCGGGCCGGCTCACTATGAGATGCTGGGTCGCTGCCGCATGGTATGCGACCCACACGGGCCGCGAGGCCCTGAACCCGACGGCGCGCCCGCCTCCGTGCCCCCTTTCCCTCCGGGCGCCAAGGGAGAGGTGGGCCGGCGCGGGAAGGCAGGTCTGCGAGGGCCCCCGGGCCCCCCAGGCCCCAGAGGGCCTCCAGGAGAGCCGGGCAGGCCAGGTCCACCGGGTCCTCCCGGCCCAGGCCCTGGCGGGGTGGCGCCCCCTGCCGGCTACGTGCCTCGCATCGCCTTCTACGCGGGTCTGCGGCGGCCACACGAAGGTTACGAGGTGTTGCGCTTCGACGACGTGGTCACCAATGTGGGGAACGCTTACGAGGCGGCCAGCGGCAAGTTCACCTGCCCCATGCCAGGTGTCTACTTCTTCGCTTACCATGTACTCATGCGCGGCGGTGACGGCACCAGCATGTGGGCCGACCTGATGAAGAATGGACAGGTGAGGTGCCCCTCCCCGACCCAGGCCCAGAGCAGACCTGGCAGCTTTCTAAATCTCCCTGCACTCATTCCACCTGAGGGCTGCATACGAACCCTTCCCCCCAACAGCGTCACTGAATCCAGAAACGCCAGGCTGCCAAGAACTTACAAATTGTTTCATTCAGTCGAAGAGGAATTGGGGCCAGAGAAAGGAAATGACCTGCCCAGGGTCTCACAGAGCGTTAAGAATGGTGTCAGACTCAGAACTTACGATTCAAAGCTTAATGTCTCTGCAGCTGCTATCCTCACTCTCCAACTACAGGCAACCCTACACCAAAACTTCTTTGGTGTCTCATCCTGCCAGTTAGCGTCTGTTCTTGCCCTGTCTTGGGCCGCCCTCTCTTCTGAGGCAGCCTTTCCGGCATTTGGGTTTCCCAGCCTCAGGATGGGTGAACTACCTACAGTCTGGCTCTTTTGAATTAGCGTGGAATCCAGGTCTCTGGCAATCGGCAGTGGGCAGCTGTTCTCGTTGGGGGCATTCAGCTTGTATTTCCGAGTAAAAGGCAAAAAAGAAAGACGACACTCACCCAGGGCCTCAGACCATTCTAGAGCTGGCCCTACCCTTAGCTAATACTGAGTCAGTAGGCAGAGGTGGAAATCGTGTGGCAGTTCACCGGCCAGCTGGGCAGCATGATGAAAGGGATTTGGAAGGGGAAAGAGGCAAAGAACAGATAAAGCAGAAGCTTTGGACCCTGGACTGGTTCTGTAGGCCAGAGGTTCCCTGGCAACCTCTGGCCTCCAGGTTCGGCTGCTCCTGCCCCTGTGGTCAGAGTTGGAGTCATTGCCACCTTGACTTGGGAGAATAGCTCCAAGGACTCAGCGGGAGGACTGGGACATGCAGAGAGGGAAAGAGACGCCACGGAATGGGGGTTGGGCAAGGCACCTGGGCCCCACAAGCTGCAGGGGGTAAGACTGGGGCTAAGCGGTGACCTCTGAATGCCCCGTGCGCCAGATGTGGACCGTGGCACATCAGGCCTGCTGGTCCTGGAGGTATGGACCCGGGTCCTGCTCCAGCTGCAGCACCCTGCTGCTCCAGGACTAGTAGGCATTGCACTGGGGTCTCCTCCCAGCAGGGCCGCCCCAGGGACCCAAGGAAAGAGAGACTCTATGTGTGCCTGCATGGGAGTGACAGCCATTTGTGTGTAAGGGAGTGAGTGTGTGTGTGTGTGTGTGTGATGCGAGTGTCTGTGGGTGCGGGGTGGGAGAATGGATCAGTGTTTATCTGCATGGGGCCTTGAATAGGTGTGTGTGGTCTATGCAGGGTATTTGTGAGGAGGAGGAGGGGGCGACTGTCTATCTAGAGTGTACCGGTTTCAGAGGGGGGCGGGGGCCGCGCTGCTCCCATTCTGTATTCCGCGGCGCGGGCGCTGCGGCCCTGGGGACGGTAAATAGTGATTAGAATAATGATGAATAATTAATGAGTTAATAACCAGCCCCCGCGGGACACGAAGAGGGGGGCTGGGGAAGGGGCTGGCGGCCCTAGGCGACCAGAAGCGAGGCCAGAGGGAAGAAGAGGTTACCTGTTGGGGCGGAAGGCGACCCCCATGTCCTAGCGCCACTGGGCGCCAGAAGGGGAAAGGGCACCCAGAGGCGAAAACGCATCATTGCACTTTCCCATGTCTCGCACGCTCGCTCCCAGGCTACAGACGCACCTGTGCCCTATCACTGAGGGAAGGGAATGAAACTTCAGGAGGTCAGAGTGGGTTCAGAATCTTAGCAATTACCCTACAGGCTAATTTTATTGTTTGAATGCTAATAATAGCAAACCCTATAGAGCGTTTTCTAGGAGCAAAGCGCTGTTTTAACTCACTTCTTATGTACTAACTCACTTAATCCTAACAACCTTATGAGGTCGGCTCTATTATGACCTCCCATCTTCTACTTCAAATTGAGGACCAGAGAAGGCGTGAAACTTGTCGAGTCGCACAGCTGGGGAGTGGCAGTGCCTGAGAAGCTCAGCGGTCTCCCGCGCGCTCCCTCTCCTCCCCAGCCCCTGCAGCGGGTTCCCCTCGCCCCGCCTTCGCGGGCCCAGTGCACCTACTCCGCCCAACGCTTCTTGCCACAGGGCTGAGCGGCGTGTTGTGTTCTCCTCCGCCAGGTCCGGGCCAGCGCCATCGCTCAGGACGCGGACCAGAACTACGACTACGCCAGCAACAGTGTCATCCTGCACCTGGATGTGGGTGATGAAGTCTTCATCAAGCTGGACGGTGGGAAGGTGCACGGCGGTAACACCAACAAGTACAGCACGTTCTCCGGCTTCATCATCTACCCGGACTGAGCAGGGCCCCATCCCCCGCGCCCCCGCTCGCCCTTCGCCTCCGCTCCCCTCTCCACCCACCTCCAGCCGACCCCACCCAACGTGCCACCCCTTCCTTTGAGAGCCTGGCGGCGGGGCGGACCCTCCCGCTCCCGACGCAGCCTTGCTGGGTGGACTCTTCACGCTCCCAGGGGTCGAAGTGGCTGGGGAGAGGAGGAGGCCGTGCTGAGGAGGAGCAGAGCGGCTCCGGAAGGGCCCCCCCAGGGTCAGATTGCGTGCCTGTGAAAGCGGAGGAGACCATCTCTACTGCGGAGGAGACCATCTCTACTGCGGGGGGCTGGGGAACAGCTTTACCACCCGGAGCTGCAAGCAGAAAGGAAGCCCCGGCATTCGGGGGCGGCCCTGTGCGCGCGGGGGTGGTGAGCAGAAACAGGAGCCCATCCAGGTGGGAGGAGAGGAAACGTTTGGCTGGCGCTTGTTCCCTGTCACAACTTTCTCTCTCCATCCTCTCCTCCCTTCATCTCCATTTTCAGGCTCCAGACTCCGGCCTAGCAGCCTTCCTGTGAACTGGAGGAACCAGTGAATTCTTTCCTAGCATTTATAACTCATTCTGTACAGTCCCCATTTCCCGCCCATCCTGCCTAGGCCCTGGGGCTACAGCTGCTGTTGCCTCGCCCAATAAAGTGAAGTTGGAGAACGTGTGTGCTTCTTAACTTAGTGCCCAGAGTGGGGGAGAATGACTGACCCTTTCCCTCACTGCTGTCAAGGACTCTGGTCCTACCACTCTCTGCCAGAGGCAAAGGTTTACTTATTCCTGGCAAGTCCCGTCTCTGGGGGAAGAGAGGAGGAGAGTAGCCCAGGGCTTCTACTGATATGGAAAGGGAGGCACAGAAGCTTCCGGAGAGCTTTGAGACCTCCTACTGGCGTGGAGGCAACAGCCAGAATGACACTAACAAGGCAGGGCGGGAGTTCCAGAGATATGGGTCCGGTGCTTCTGCTTTTTGCCTGATGCAGGGGGAGCTGTAAGAAGATGAGCTCTAGGGCAGGAAGGAGCTGCTGATGGCTCCCGAGAGGGGCACTGATCTCAAAAAGCAAGAAGAGCAGGTCCGGAAAGGTCCAGATTTGCCCACACAAACTCCTACAACGCGCAGGGGCGGAGGTTGGCAGGAGTGGGATGCCTCTTTAGGACCGCTTCTAGGTGAGGGAGCCTGGGGAATCCTGAGAGCCCAGGGCCCGCCTCTAAGCTGGAGGACACTGCCACCGTGTGGGCAACTGGAGAACAACAGCTGTAGCTGGCCTAGATGGGCCCAGCGGGAAACAGACATTCCGACAATTAAGAAACTTTATTGAAGAATAAAGGGTATGGGCTCCCAGTCTCACGGGGTGGACAATAAATAAGGGCTAAAAGGAGCAAGGAGCAAGGCAGGGCAGGAGGTGGATGCATCATGACAGAGAGTCCTGTGGGGCAGCAGAACCAACTGGAATAAAACACTGGGGAGAGAGAAGGCTGTCACAGCCCAGAAGCCATCCTTGAACAACCCTTCCCCACTGCCCTCTCCAAAGGATCAGAGGCTGGCCCCCGGCCCCCACTCTCTCCCCAGCACCCGCACAACCCCATTTTCCAGGCGTGCTGTGCAGGCACAGCTTGGCTGTGGTTGGGGGGCTCACCAGGGCATCCTGCCATTCAAGTAATGTGGCCACAGGGTTGGTGCAGACCCGGGCGGATCCTGAGGGCGGGGCTCGGCTGGTGTAGAAGGCACATTCATCATCCAGGCGGGCCTCATGGAAGCAGTGGATGGCGGTCAGACATGCTTTAAGGCGCTGCCTCAGGGCCAGAGTTCGAGGGGCGAGACTGCTGGGACCTGAGGGCCAAGGGCCAAAGAGACTTCAGGGCAGGCTCTGGAGTCCTCTTTTCCCACCATCTAAAGCCCTTTCCCACTACCTGCGCCCCACCACCCCCAGGGGCCAAGCCAATTAGGAGCACAGAGCTTGAGGGGCAACTCCTCCCTTCCTTCCCAAGGAGTGCTAGGCTAGGCTAGGGGAGCTGGAGGAAAGCATGGGACCACCCAGTGCAAGGTAGAGGCCTGCCTCTAGTGAGAGATGAGGACCTCCTTTGTTCAGAATCCCTTCTAACCAACTCCTTACCTGCCTGGCCTGTTGGGGGTCTCAGAGACTGGAGTGAGTGAATAGGGGGGCTGGCACAAAGTGGGTGCTGGGAGGAGAAGATCAGGGTGGTGATCTCTGGAGCCCACTGACTGTGGCAGGGCTGTGGGCTGGACTCCGGACTTCTCGGTTCCAGGAAGCAGGCCTTGGATGCCCCAGGCTCTATCCTAGGGGAGGGCTCTAGGAGTCCAGCGTGCCTATGGGAGTCAGCCTGCAGGTGTCCGGGCTCTACTGGAGGGCAGGGCTCTGATACCACAGGCTGTTCCTGGACAGAGGGTTCTGGTATCCCAGGCTCCCTGCTATGGCTGGACTCTGGGGACCCTGGCTCTGCTGCAAGGCAGGGCTGAACTGCCTCCGGCTTTGCTTCTGGGCAGGGCTGCGCTTCCCCACACTCCTCTGGAACACAGGGCTCTGGTAGCCCAGGGCGCTGGAACAGTCCAGGAAGGTGTAAGGCCCCTGAATTCTGCTCTGGGGCATTCCGGGTTCTAGAAATCTCAGCCAGAAGGGGCTGAAGTTCAACCATTTCCAGAGAGGAACCTCCATTAAGGGGGGCACACTTGCCCCCAGCCAGCCCTTCCACCTCTTGTCGCAACAACTCCTGCAGGATACTGATGCGCTGTGGGGAGGAGAAGAGCCCTCAGGGGGATGTCAAGGTGTGGGTTCAAGTCTCCACCCACACTGTCCTGTTCGCATCCTCTGTCGCTGTCAGGCAGGCATCAGGCCCACACGCAGACCCACCTGCATCTTCAGCTCCTGAAGTGTGGCGGGTGTACTAGGGTCAGAAGCTGCCACAGGGGCTTTCCTAGGCCCCTCCTGCACGATTGTACAACTCTCCTGGTCAAATAACCGGACTGCAATCTGCTCCTGGCACAGGGAAGGAGAGGGGCTGTGTGAGGAAGCCGGTCTGGGGCAGGAAAGAGATCACCCCACACCAGGAAGGGCTCAGGTTAGTCAAAAAGCCCTAAACTTAAAGCAGGAGGCACAGCTGAGGAGCACGGAGTGTTGGAGAGTTGGTAGCTTCTCTGGGGAGCCTGCCTGCCTCAGACTGCTGGGATCCCAGCACCGAAAGCCTTCAGATACATACCCAGGGCAGGGCAGGCTCTTCAGGGCATGACTGAGGGGAGAGGCCGCTCAAACCCTGGGCCTGGGACAGAAGGGGGACATTGTAACTCTCCCTGTTCCCATCCATTCCCTTCCTCCCCCACCCTGGCCTAGGTCAGCTACCTCCCCTGCTCCCTCTTACCTGCTGAACCCTGGGGGTCGCTCGGATGGGTGTGAACTGGGTTTTGGGACGAATGGCAAGGCGCCGCAAAACCGAATACGAGGGCTGGGGAGAGAGGAGGATGGCTGAGCAGGACCAAGAGCTAGACCTGGCAGGGATCCCGCCAGAATGTTCTCCCCTTGCCCAGCAAACCCCCATCCTCTGGAGTGATGGATACAAACTGGAGCTGAGGGGCCAGGAGAGGGTATGCGCTGAGCTCGTCCAAAGGGTGATGGGTGGGTGATGGACGGTGGCACCACTCGGCCAGGGGAGGATATCAGGTGGGAGGCACTGTTGTCCTGTGGGGAGGAACAAGGTGGAAGAGTGATCGCTCCCCCTCTGCATTCCCATGTCTCCTCATTACAGCAGCCAGTGGGATTCTTTTAAGAACTAATCAAATCCTGTCTCTCCCTTGTTCATCGCCCCACCCCATGGCTTTCCACGCATTCCAAGGAAAAGCTGAGGTCTCACACTGATTCTAAATCCTTACCCAATCTGATCTTGCCATCACCCTAACCTCACTTCCTGTTGTCCTCCTTATTCTGCTTCAGCCTGGCTGGAGTCTCCTTTCTGCTGATCCTCAAACACACGAGGCACATTCCCGCTTCAGGGCCTTTGCATCTGCAGTTCAACTGGCCTGGAACATTCTTCCCCCAGATATCTGCATGGTTCACTTCCCCATCTCCTTTTGGTTTTCACTGAAATGTCATCTTCTCAATTAATTTCCCTGACCAATCTATATGAAATTGCTACACCCGCTCCCCTACTTCCACACCCCCTTCAGTGTCTACTTTGTTTTCACTCATCACCACCTGACAGGCTATATATTTTACTTTTTTTTTTTTTTTTATGGTTTCCCCTTTCTAGAATGTGAACTTATTTGCTACTGTGTATCCAGAACCTAGAGTACTGCTTGGCACATAGTAAGTGGTCAACAAACACTTGTGGAGTCAATGAATGTCAGATCTGCCTTGCTCTCGGCACTGATCTGCTGTGTGACACAAATAAATGCCAGACTGTGACCTCTCAGCCCCAGGCTCCAGACAGCTGGTAAGCAGAGACTAGACCTACTCTGGAGAGGCCTTGGGCCCGTGGGGCAAACAGACTCAATTTACATCCCAACCCCCACCCACAAATCCTCAGTGCTGGCCAATGCCAGAGAATTCCTCCCAAACATCTCCCCTTCTCCCCGCAACCCAGAAGGATCTCATCTCACCTTGGTGTGGGTTATCTCTCTTAATGGTACCCGCTGGGCCAGACCTAGGGGGCCCCCTCCTCCTTCATCTGAGCGAGTAACAACTTCATGTTCTCCTTCAGGGAGAGAGGGAGCTAGGACGAGACAGGAAGTTTGCTGTAGTGCTGGCACACACATCAACGGCTGGCATAGGGTTTTGGAACCTCCAAAGAGGGTAAGTCAGCTTGACAGCCCCCACTGTACCATCAGTGGGACCCGCCTAGCAGCCCCTTGGAGCCCAGCAACATCTCAGTAATCACTTACTAATCTGAACACCCCAAGTAGGCTAGGGGTGTGATGGTGGCTCTTAGGGCTGAGGACAGAACAGAGAGTGGAAGGTAAATCTTAAAAGTAAGTGGCAGAGAAAGGGTTGAAGTGGGGACTACCTCCTTTGACACAAGTGGAACTGGTCAACCTCTGGCCTATTATTATGGTCCTTTCCTTGGTGGCTCCTCCTGATGTGGCCTTCCCCTCGAGCCCCCTCCCCACCCACTGAGCTTTCTCCAACTTAAGCAGTCCATCTG